AAACTGAGGCCCTGTCCAATCATCCAATTTTGTTTTGTTCAGTAGCGCTAGCTTAAGTCAAATTTCGTCACTTTATAGTGCACATCGGCTCCGCCTTTCGCGGTTTCCTTCCCTCACTACAATCAATATTTTCATCATATTTTCTGATGCATAGGAATCCCTTTTCTGAAGGCTCATGAAGACGGGGAGCCTTGACGGACCAAAGAATGGACAACATTTAATGTTGGAAGCAGAAAGCACTGAGCACAAAGGTCATGCATTTTCTTTTGTGGGGTGGAAGAACATGCGGAGATCACAAGCCTCACTTTTAAAAGCACTGTGGATGATAGTTGGAGAAGAGCAGCAAGGTATGTAACAGGAGAGGGTAAGCGAAGTTCGGATGCATCCAGGATGACAGGAGGAAGAGAGAGAGACATACCCCCGTAGCAAACAGCAAATAAGCACTCCACGAAGCTGAGAGATCGAAAAGACAAGTATCGTACTATAATCCACCATAATTCGTGTTTCGGATGCGTCCGATGTGTTCAATCAATAGAGTGGCTTTATGCTTGTGATGGTTGGGGCACGGTTCAATCCACAATTGATTTTAGAAGCTTTTTCCCGGGAATTGAGGCCCTGTCCAGTAGCGCTAGCTTAATTCAAATTTCGTCACTTTCTAGTACCCATCGGCGCCGCCTTTCGGGGTTTCCTTCCTTCACTACATTCACTCTCTTCATTATATTGTCTGAGGCATAAGAATCCCTTGTTTGAAGGCTCATGAAGACGGGGAGACTTGATGGGCCAAAGAATGGACAACATTTGATGTAGGAAGCAAAAAGCACTGAGCACAGAGGCCATGCGTTGTATTCTGCAGGGTCGACGAACACCCGAAGACCACAAGCCTCGCTTTTGAAATCACTCTGGATTATAGTTGGGGAAGAGCAGCAAGGTATGTGACAGGTGAGGAAAAGCGAAGTTCGGATGCATCCAAGATGACAGGAGGAAGAGAGAGAGATAGTCCGCAGCAAATGGCAAACGAGCACTCCACACAACTCTTAGATCGACAAGACAAGCATCGTACCATCATCGACCACAATTCTGTTTCGGATGCATCCGATACGTTCAACCAATAGAGTCGCTTTATGACTGCGCCGGTTGGGGTATGGTTCATTTTACAATTGATTCTAGAAAACTTTCCCTGGAATTGAGGCCTTGCCCAATCATCCAATTCTATTTTGTTCAGTAGCGCTAGCTTCATCCAAATCTCGTCAATTTCTAGTACTCATCGGCGCCGCCTTTCGGGGTACATTGAATTTTTCCATTATGTTGTATGATGCATAAGAATTCATTGTTTGAAGGGTCATGAAGACGGGGACCCTTGACGGGCCAAAGAATTGTCGGCATTTAACGTTGGACTATATGTGCCAACAAATAATGGAAAGAGGCCCGTGCTGTGTATTGGGCGCTCTGTGATGCCTCAAAATCTTCAAAATGGATGCATCCAAGTATGTGGACAGGAGAGAGGCAGACCATAAAAGACAGAATAAGAAGAGGCAGACTATAAAAGACAGAATAAGAAGGAGTTCGGATGCATCCAAGTATGTGGACAGAACATCACACCACACAAGATATGGAATGACGAAAGCAAGGAAGACGGTCACGAAATAGTCGCACCAACAATGGGGATGTTGGTGATAATTGAGAGCCAATTTAGAATCACAATAATGTGGAGTACAAAAACTCCGGGGACGTGACAATTCCACCAGGAGACATCCTAGCAGCATCCGCCAGTTTACCTCTGAACCAATGCGATAACACCTACCAGACTTTCATGAAAAAGCACGATGAGAGAACAATGTCCGTAGAAGAACGAAATATTTTTGTATGCCAACCCTTCTACAGTACGTAACCAATGATCAGGTAGACACTCAACTATCAATACAACAAATCCCCAAAGCTAGTCTACATCTGATAGACGAGATGTGCCTATGGGAGAAATCGAAAGGTGGACGCAAACCTTTTGCTAAACAGGAAGCGAACATCACCATAAACACCCCACAACTAGCCCCGTCCTGCTGTTGAGGGACACCTTCCATGCGGACATCACATTTGAAGTGGTCGAAAGTGCGAACATCAGTGGTAGTACTTGCCACCATGTTCAAATACTTCACAACGTTATCGAACAGTTTGGAATAGAAGTCATCTTTAGATGACGAACCGGAAAACGAGTCGAAAATCTCCAAAACACATCTAGAAATTTGCCAAAAGGCTCTAGTGTGTGTCGTCCTTATGCACTGGAGCCAAGACGAGATCTTGAGACAGGAGGTTGGCATCTTAAGCCCATCCGCTAACACTTGTCGGACCTCACAGCAGCAATGTAGAGGGGAAGAAAGAGTTAAAGGTGTACGTCTTTGTGGCAGAGGCAGTCCGACTGCAATCGTCCAATATCATCGCCATGTAGAAATTGACAACCTCATCGTTTGGTTCCCCGTATTTGTCCACGAGTGTGACGATGTGCTTGACCGAGACTTGTAAATTGTGTGACGGCAAACGTGCAGCGATGAAAGTGGCGGCAACCGAGAGCAGATGACGTCTTCAAGGACTGCTCTTCCATGTCGAGGAAACCCTGTTCAAGAAACACCCGCAGCACACAGCAAGCACAAAGGACGGAGGACTATGAGAAAATGCCGCCCTAGGGACCAGGGTCCGACGACCTGCCATCCTGCGGCCCAAAAATTCCACGCATAACGTCACCCCTACTTATGGACCTTCTATACACAGTTCATCTTGAACTAGCACTGTCCTTGTTTATATCCTTGCAAGCTTCGAGAAGGATCGCCTTGCAGTCCTTCTCAGTAACACCCGCTGCCTCTGCAACGAGTTTTGTGCGCGGACCTACTATGGGCACGGCCACCCGTTCGGGAGGCCCTTGAGGCTTCTTGTCCCCATAATAAAAATCAGCGACATCGCCACGTCTAGTGCCACCCGCAACCACGACAGACAACTTCGTGGGCGCAACCGGCTCCTCCGACATGTACGTTTCTCCAGGAGTTCGTCGACCTGTATAAGAAATAGCACACCATGTTCGACTACAATAAGCACCAGTCAAGATAACCACCGAACTTCGTCAGTAGGTAGCTGACAACACAACTTCGCAAGACTTACGAAGCACACAGCACCTGACGAACCCCACCGGTAAAGTTCAGTTGGCAGTTGTCAATACAACTTCCGAAAACCAACGAAGCAAACAGGACCTCACGAACGGGTAGACAAGCAGAGATATTTAGTGCTTACCAGGCTTAGGTTCCACGACACCGAAGTCCACCGCCGGTAGTCCCAGCACGACTGCAGAGTCGTGTACAACAGATAACGAAGTGCATACCGTAACAGGGCATTGCTCTCCAACTGTGTGGGACTCGAGAGTGGAATTGGGCACTACCTCACTCTCAAGGTACTTCATGGATTTGTCTTGAACACCGACTTCAAAAGACGGACGGCCATCCTGCAGTTCCTTGGGAACTTCCATGCACGTCTCTTGGTCCGGATTAATCTGAATTCCATTAGCAGAATGTGCTTTCTTGAAGGAAAAGACCTCCAGGTTCAGATTAATCCGAACTTCCTCATCTAGCAGAACGGAGAGCGGTTCCTGGTTGTCGCAGTCGGAGCCAAGGTATGTTGTCGTCTCGCTGCCTACAGGACACTGAGTTCCGGACAATGACGCCGTTTCCGTGGTTCGGATTAATCCGAGACAATTCTCGGGCCGCGGAAACCTCCCAGAAGTGAAGTCATTTCCCGTCTCGATTGAGGTGATGCATGTTACCGCCAATGCCGCACTGGCCTCATCCTCGTCGATGTTGGGCCCCTGCCCGTCTCCGTTGTGATGGTTTTTCTTCTCTCCGCTGTGAGGCCTTCTCTTCTCTCCGCTGTGAGGCTTTTTCTTCTATCCGCTGCCCTTTCTTCCCTCTCCGCCGCCTTCGTGCTCCGAAGACCTCCGTTTCGACGAGCGCGGTTCACTTCCCCCCCCGGATCCGCGGCGACCGCCACTATGACCATCCCCTTCGTCGTCTTTTCCGCGAGACTTGCGCTTCGCAGCTTCAGTCGTCGGCATGATCGCAGGCAACTCCCAACTTGCGTTGTTTAAAGACGGGCTCAACGGAAGGCTGTAAAACGCGGAGGAACATTCCAGCCATTTATTTGCTTTAGAAAGTCGAACACCGTGTCCACGTATGCCCGTAGAGCAGGGTCGTCCTTGTGTTGTGAATTAACCTCAAGCAATTTCCCCAATACTGCCTCGTAAGCTCGAGCTTTGAAAACATCAAGGTTCCAACGATCGTCGTAATCCCACCCCCCTTTGAGGTTCCTCACAGGCTCACAGCCATTGCCCATTCACCGTCAAGAAGGACTGGCTGGAAATGGTCAGGGTGCCACACGACATCATGGCCCCAATCTTCGGCTTTGGAGAAGGTGTGTTGTCGCCCACGTGGTACGGCCTTGTAGGATTCAGCAGATGCGGATGGTCAGAAGGAACTTGTTGGTCGGGTTGTAGACGTTCGGGGAGCGATGTGATACGGAGTGACTCCCCCAGGGGACTCGTTAAATGGGATAACCCACCCCTCTTGACAGGCGCTGAGGAGGACACGGGTGTGGGACCGCCTCAGGTGGGTGTAGCAAACGGTGTCCCCGGTTTGCATATAGAGGGCGACTCAGAAAGGACTTGGGCGTTGAAGATGGCCAATTGGCCGTCGAGATCGAAGATGTCGTCCTCAACGCTCTCCTCCTGCTCAGTCTCGATATTCAAGTCATCGTCCTCGTCAAATGCCAGCTTGTACTTGTCCAAAGTGAAGTCAGCCGGATCGTGCACATGTTCATTGAAGAAGACGTACTCCAACCTCTTCGTGAAGTCCACTGCACTGGTCCGACTCGCTCCGTGGTGGCCCTGGAGGACAGCAACGGCGACTTCCTTTCGCTTAACGTATTCCACGTCTACTCTCCACTTCGGTTGATGGCCGAAAAGAAAGGAGTAGACTTGGTGCCTTTTATTCGGAGTCAACTTGAAGAACATGTCCTTATTCGGGTCATATTCGGGCTCGACGGTGACATGGTGGAAATCGCAATCGTAAGCCCCGGACTTCATGGGCAACAAACTGCACCGTGTATTCCAGTTGCGTCGAGTCCCCCTCCACCGCCAAGACGTGCCTTCCGCTCTGAAGCAGATTCCACACCACCTGAGCGTGCGGCTTCCCCAGGAACAGCACAGCATCCGCCGCAACACAGAAGAAATGCAGTTGACTGCATAACTGAAAAGGATTCCTCTCCCAGTCCTTGTACACAGTCCCCCGTTGGGTGAGGTCTCCAACGTCTGCAAAATTCAAAGACTTGAAAGGGTGCTCCACAACATCGGTAGGTGTCACTTTTTGTTTCCTCCGAAGAGCGGCGGCATCGTCTTCGGCAACAGCTCCCTCGTACACTGGTTGCGTCAGCAGCAGCGGATCCTCGCTTTTGAAAAGGATGTGCATTACGTCTGGCTCCTCCCACATGCTGTTACCAAACTGATAGGTCTTTTTCACTTGTGTCTTGCGAACCCACTTTCCCGTGTAGCATCGGGGTGCCCGAAGCGCAGACAAATATGTCATGAAGGAGAGGTTCCACAGGCAGGGAACAAATATCACCAATGTCCAATAGTCCTGACAAACAATGTCGAGGAACTCACTCAGAGACGCGAACGCTCCTGCATCCCAGCGCGCCCGATCCGCAGTTCCCCACAAGTCGAGCACGCAAGTGTGGGAGTGTAACCGATTTGCGAGCTTCCTTAGCACGTCCTTATGATCCAAGGCATTCAATGGGTCGACGACAAACAGGGCTAGCGTCATCACGGCGCTTGTCTTCCTCCACAAAATGTTTGTGCATTCATCAATGCCCCGAGGACTTTTTTTGGCTTGCATGCGGTCTCCAGTGATCATCGATAGGACCACACATTTCCACTCCGTTGGGAAATGTTGGTCGTTCACGAGGGCCACGGTCTTCTTGACGTTGATGTCATGTGGACACCCTAGATACTGAGGGCACTTGTTCACGTAGGCGGTGTCAGTGAAAAATTTCTTGTTGTCGTTCCAAAGCTTGTCGTCAAGACCTTTGTCCGCGTAATCTTCAAACAATTTTCGCTTGGATCTGAAGAATGAGGATCCGGCATTCCACTGCTCCTTGCCCATTTCCTCGTACTCGAACTCCACGTAGTGCCACAACCTCAGCATAATCCGGTCGATTTTTATTATGTCGACCATCTCCTTGACATTGAACTTCCCCTGTTCGGCCAACTTCTTGTTACTCCCTTGAACCCACACGACGTTAAGGTTCAAGACGCCGTTCAACAACCTCTTCTTCTCGCGGTCCGTTAAGCCTGCCAATTCCTTCCAGCAATGAACATCAGGCTCAGGAACTTGGATGTAGTAAGTTTTCTCCTCCCCGCCTTTCTTTGGCTTGCCCTTGCCCTTTCTCAACGACGGGTCGTCCACCTTAATGTACCAGACGTGTTTCTTCAGTCCCTGGCTGTCAGTCACAGTCGACAGTCCCTGCTTAGCCACTTCCTTATGGGCCGGTGACTTTTCTGTCCAACGTCGGCCGTCAGAAGCCAGAAGTTTTCCTTTCGACCATTCGTTGTAGAATTTCTCCGCCAAACCGAAGACCGGGTCGTCAGCCATGGCCAGCGGAAGGTAGTACCGAAGTTTCTCGGCCAATTCCTTTCTCTTCTTTGCTTCCGTTGACAGGCCCTACAAAGGGGTGTACGGTGTCTTCTTCATTGCTAAGGCCATGAACTGAGTCCATTTGCGCACTGCCTCCTTTTTCTTGGACGCATTACCGAGCACGGCACGCGGTCTCCCCCTAATTTTCTAGATATTGCAAATGTCCCTCATGGACAAAATCTGCAACCTCGGTGGATTCTTCTTGTCTTTCAGGTTGTCTTCGCAACTGACATGGGCATAGCCGTCGAACTCGTCGTCAGGGAAGTAAATTGGTTTGAATGGCCATTCACAGAAGTTGTAGTAATTGAACACGGGATGGTCTTTCACCTTCAACGCCGCCCTCGCGTTATGCTGACCACACACAGGATAATACCAGTACTTCTCGGGATGGGAGGCATCGAAGTCTTGAGGCAGCACGCGCACAACAGGTCTGTCCTTCTCCGGTGGCGACACGATCGGAGCCACAACGAAAACCGACTTTGTATATCTCATGTCTTGACGATCGTAGCAGTCGATCATAGCCCCAGCGATGGTCTCCACGAGGAACTCGTCCAAGGACCGGTGGTTGTACGCATCTTCTCAGTCTGGAATATGCAAGATCCTTTCGGGATGGATGTGCAACACGGCGTCCTTCTGCACCCTCGTCTTCATCTCTAGGAATAAGGCTTTGTCGAGGTTAAATGTGTTCAGGTTCACTTCCACGTCGTCGTCCCCCTCCCCGATGTCGCCCTCATCTGCTTTCTTCTCCTTCATCGACTTCGACCTCTTCCCCGAAGACTCACCGATTCTCCGTCGTGCCGAGAAGTCTCTTGGCGTATCATCCCCCCCTCCAACCCTTTTCCTCTTCTCAACGGATCCCCGGTCTTATGTCATCGGCGTCCGATCACTTCCTCCTGCCTTTCTTTGCCTTTTCTGAGTCGCTACTCTCTCCCCCGCTTCGTCAACTGGTAAGTTCCGGTTGCTTCCCAACTGAGTCTTCTCAGGCGAGCTCTGACTAATCGCCCCCAACTCGAGTAGCTCCTCTTCACCGGCGACATTCCCACCTGACTCTCGTTGAGGGCTCGCCTCTGTCTCCAGATGGAGCGGAGGAGGGCGGGACGCTCGAGTCGTCTCGTCCGCCCCGCGCACCTGCCGAACCTGCGAGGTACCCGGTCGGACGACCGCCGACAACTCAACCGACTGTCTACCAGTCTGCTCCTGCGTATCTGAACGACATGCCGACTAGCGGATCAAGAGGGGTACCTGGCAGTCCACGCTCCCCTCCCGCAGGGTCTCCTCCCGCGAACCCAACAGGACCACTTATCGATGTCCCAGGGTCCACGTCCATGCCATGGCTAGGGCTGACTGTACGCGACCAGACCTCGAGGAAGTGTTCCACGTGGACAGCTTCGTCGTGGCCTGGCGCTAACTGGACAAAGAAGGGCAAAGCCATCGCACGTTGTCCGTACCCCTCGAACATCTTCCCGGAAAAATTGCATCCTTTTCCGACTTCGTCGACGGACCCATCACTTCGGTAAAGCTTCCGCAAGGCGAACCATAGAATGTCATTGCCGGCTTCAATCCATTTGACGATGGACCCTGCGAGACGCATCGTGTGGCCGCGAACGGCGAGGAACAAGACTGGCCCGCATCGAGGTTCCAACGGGTGGGAGGCGTCCTGGCAGACTCAATCCACATACGAGACCCGCTTGCTGTAGTCGCACCACAAGCGTTGAGCCCCTCGAGGTTCTTCTCCCAGCGGAGCGGCCTTCGCCGTGAGTAGTCATTCCCTGAAACACGCAAAGCAATTGAACACACGTCTACTCAGCACAACCACACGCACAAGAACGTCCTTTACCCAGAGCACCCACAATGACCACGGTCCACCGGGACCTGACAGACGCGAAGTTCACTGGTGGTTCGAAGTCAGTGGACCACGGGCCTGATCTCGAAGGAGGACAACTGCCAGTGTCGGATTAATCCGAACCATGGAAAAGGCAAGGCGTTTTTGGAGAGAAATTCCAGGTTAGTGAACTCGTTATCACGCAAGGTCGCACACGAACACAAATTTCCTGCGGAGAGTTCTGACGGCAGTACGACGAAGAGAAATTCAAAATCATGTATGTTCACTCAGAGAGACGCATGACCGAACATGAAAAAAACTCATCACAGCAAATGATCATCGGATGGTTCGGATGCATCCGAACTTGAAGGAGTGTTCAATTGCAGCCAAATACCAAAGTAGAACGATGATTCGGGTGGATACGCACTTCACGTCCTATGTTGTTTATGCTTTCGCGCCGTGGCCTCCGGCGTAGACATGCAATGCACGTGGAAGGTAAGAAACCAGAAACCGTTTGCCCAAGCTTGTTGTACGCGGCTCGGATGAAATAGGAGGAGAGAAGCCTTGCTTCTCTCAAGCGTTTCTGCACTCGGACAGGAAGACAAGCATGGACACCGTAGTACGATGCAAGGAAGTCACCTAGCAGTTCCAGGTGTGGTGCTGATGCATCCGATTTTGAAAGCGGGGTAAGGTCGACGTTGCATTTCTTTGCCATTCTCAAAGATCGGTGTCAAGGTTCCAAGACTACATTGGAGGTCCCTACACCGCTGATGGTTTCGTGGGCGGTGTGTTTCCACGTGTGGTTCGGATTCATCCGAACTCCACAGGGCAATGTTCGATTTTCGAACTCGAAACGAGCAGAATCCGGGTGTAAGCCGGTTGCGGTGCTGATTCCTCCGAATTTGACAAAGAGGTAAGGTCGGCGTTGTATTTCTTCGTCATTCGCATAGACCAGAGTCGGGGGTCCAAGACTACGTCAGAACTCCCTACACCGTTGATGGATCCGTGGCACGTGTGTATGCCCGGTGTGGTTCGGATTCATCCGAACTTCACAAGTGGATGGTCGACTTCACTGGTGTGGTTGGATTCATCCGAACTTCGCATTGGTGTGGTGGGCTTCATCAGAACTTCACAAATGGATGTCTCGGTGTGGTTCGGACCAATCCGAGTCCGGGGTGTGTTGCCTGACAGTTCCCGGAAAACGGTTGACAATGTGTCCCATCCAAATTGGGAGCAAGCAGAATCCAGGTGTGGTGCTGACTCATCCGATTTTGACACCGGGGTAAGGTCGACGTTGTATTCCTGGTGTCAGGTGTCCAAGTCCACGTTAGAGTTCCCTACCCCGCTGATGGTTTCGAAGGTGCTGTGTATCCCCAGTGTGGTTCGGACTCATCCGGACTCCACAGGGCGAAGCTCGACTTCCAAATTCGGAACGACCAGAATCCACGTGTAAGCCGGGTGTGGTGCTGATTCATCCGAATTTGACAAAGGGGTAAGTAGGGCATTGTATATCTTCGCCATTCGCATAGACCGGAGTCGGGGGTCCAAGACTACCTCGGAATTCCCTACGCCGTTGTGGTTCGGATTCATCCGAACTTCATAGGTGTGGTTCGGATTCATCCAAACTTCAGAGGTGGACGGTCGACTTCACCAGTGTGGGTGGGTTCATCCGAGCTCCACATTGGTGTGGTGGGCCTCATCCGAGTTTCACGAACGGATGCTTCAGTGTGAATCCAATCAATTCGAGTCAGGGGTGTGATGTCTGTGTACTCGGACACTTCAATGATGGCGGTCGTAGTGCGGTTTCATCCGGTTTTCGCCGGAATGCGCAGCAGCTGCGTAGTGCACAGGAGAGCATTATCTATCCACAATAGGAGGCGTGCAACGCCGCTTTCGCACGCGTCCCTCCTTTCGAAGTCAACGGACACTGCCCAGCGAAGAGCTGTGGTTTGGATTCATCCAAATTAGATAGAGGCGCGTTCGACCTGGTGTTTCCTCACCATTGTGTTAGATTTGAGCGTCGGTTATGAGATGGGTGAGGTTCGGATTGATCCGAACCTGACACCGGAAGAAGATCTCCATAGTTCGTTTTCGCCACAACATTCATCCGAGCTACTTGTTTTCCCGGGCTGTGGCTCGGATTCATCCGAACTTCTAAGGACTGTGTGGCGTCATGGTGTGTTCTCGCCATCGAGGTTGAGAGAACCACATTGCGTTAAGGACGTGTGTGGCTCGGATGCATCCGAATGTGACAGAGGTATACCGGATACATCCGAACGGCAGAAGGTATTGTCCACATGGTTTGTTTTATTCCACAGACCGTGCGTCGAAGACAAGACACTCTGAAGTTCGGATAAATCCGAGTTTAACAAGGTGTTTTCCAGATGTGTTGTTTTCGGCATGGGGTTTGATCCGATCCTGCGATATGAAGGCAATATCGCATCTTCATTCATTCGTGCATAGGACTGACTTTCGAGTCCGGGTGATGAGGGGAAACATTTGGCCAATATCGGGAAGGAAAACTGGAACTGCGTCGTGCACGTTTCGATGCAAAACCAGTATCAGGTGTCCAAGTCTACGTTAGAGTTCAGTACCCCATTGATGGTTCCGAAGGCGCTGTGTATCCCCAGTGTGGTTCGGATTCATCGGAACTCCACAGGGCGAAGCTCGACTTCCAAATTCGGAACGACCAGAATCCACGTGTAAGCCGGGTGTGGTGCTGATTCATTCGAATTTGACAAAGGGGTACGTAGGGCATTGTATATCTTCGCCATTCGCATAGACCGGAGTCGGGGGTCCAAGACTACTCGCGTTCGTTCGCTGTTGTGGTTTGGATTCATCCGAACCTCACAGGTGTGGTTCGGATTCATCCGAACTTCACAGGTGGATGGTCCACTTCACCGGTGTGGGTGGGTTCATCCGAGCTCCACATTGGTGTGGTGGGCTTCATCCGAGCTTCACGAACGGATGCTTCAGTATGAATCCGATCAATCCGAGTCAGGGGTGTGATGTCTGTGTGCTTGGACACTTCAATGATGGCGGTCGTAGTGCAGTTTCATCCGGTTTTTTTCGGAATACGCAGCAACTGCCTAGTGCACAGGGAACATTTTCTATCCACAATAAAAGGCGTGCACCGTTGCTTTCGCACGCGTCCCTTCTTTCGAAGTCAACGGACAGCTGCCCAACGAAAAGTTGTGGTTCAGATTCATCCGAAATAGACAGAGGCGCGTTCGACCTGGTTTTTCCTCGCCATTGTATTAGATTAGAGCGTCGGTTATGAGATGGGTGAGGTTTGGATTGATCCGACCCTGACACCGGAAGAAGATCTCCATAGTTCGTTTTCGCCACAACATTCATCCGAGCTACTTGTTTTCCCGGGCTGTGGTTCAGATTCATCAGAACTTCTAAGGACTGTGTGGGGTCATGGTGTGTTCTCGCCATCAAGGTTGAGAGAACCGCACTGCGTTAAGGACGTGTGTGGCTCGAATGCATCCGAATTCGACAGAGGTATACCGGATACATCTGAACGGCAGAAGGTATTGTCCACATGGTCTTTTATTCCATAGACCGTGCGTCGAAGACAAGACCCTCTGAAGTTCGAACATCCGAGTTTAACAAGGTGTGTTCCAGATGTGTTGTTTTCGGCATGGGGTTTGATCCGATCCTGTGATATGAAGGCAATATCGCATCTTCATCCGCTCGAGCATAGGACTGACTTTTGAGTCCGGGTGATGACGGGAAACATTTGGCCAATATCGGGAAGGAAAACTGGAACTGCGTCGTGCACGTTTCGGCGAAAAACCCTATTTTGCGATGGGCGACACAAGACAGAATGGAACCAGTCGTGCCGACACCACACATGTGTTGTCGTCCTCCCCGTTGCCACGTCAGCGAAGAGTTCCGCTCATGTCAGCGCGGCGGTTGGCTGGCGGATCGTTTTGTCATGTAATCACAATTTGGGACGTTTCGTCCTATATGCAATCACGCATATCGTGTCCCGAATCCTGTCGACACTAAATAGAGAGCGACAAAATGACGAAGAGACATGAAGGGGAAAAGAGAAACACGATAAGAGAGAGAGATCTCTAGTTAGTGATCGTCCTTTCTTGTGCACTTCCTGACGACCACCTCCATTCCATCTATCCTCGTGCACATCCGCAAGCCACTGCCAGCGTTTGTTGATCTGGGTCGTCCCTGCCGCCTTGGCGAAGCAGAGAAATGCAGAAATGTGAATGACCGGATAGTGACTACATCCATCGATCCTGCCACGAGGCGGGGAACACAACGAAAAAAAAAGCCACAGAAAGTCGACTTCGCAGAGAAAAAGAAGTGCACGTGTCTGCGCGACTGCGAAACAGACATGAGGGTTAGAAACAATTGTGCATGAAAGGACACTTTGACTCTTTCTATCACGACGTGATCCAAATAGGGCTTCCCGGGCACCAATTGCAAATTGTGTTGCCTACATTCATAATAACACTGCCAGGGAAAAAAAAAAAGGGAAAAACAAACACCGCCGCCATGAACAAAGGAATATCACGCGATGAGAAAAATAAGATTTGCTGTTCACTCTTGTTTGATCTCGAGTGCGAGGAATAAAGAGACAAACGACGCAGGGAGAAGAACTACGAACACGAATAAGACGAACGAAAATCCTGAACGAATGAAAATACGACTGAGCGAAACGCTCTTCGAACATAAACGTTAAACAAAAAAGACGAATGAATCGGCGAAGAAGAAGAACATGTTCGTACTGCAGAGTGAAACAGGCGAATCTTGCGATTGGTTAGACAAAACAGTTCAGACGCGACAGAAGGAAGGTGAGACTCGATTGCAAAGACGTAACCCGTTCATCAAG